TGTGTGTGTGAATGTGTGTGTGAGTGAGTGTGTGTGTATGTGTGAGTGTGTGTGTATGTGTGTGTGTTGACGAACGAGTGTGCCTGTCCGTGTGTATCTTGGCGATGTGTGTACAGTCTGCAATAAAAATTCCTCAGAGAGAAGATCAGCAAAATGTTATTTTATCTTTTCTTATCTAAATGATATCTTTGTCCTATCTTACGGTCCTCGGAATTAAGAAACAGATTTATGTGACGGCCGTCAAGAGTGGAGACGTAGGGAGTCAGCCTTGACTTTGATTTGGTTTATTTTGTTCAGTAAGTTGTAAGAAAAAGTAGAGTACAATAGATCAAGATTAGTTAAAAGTGACGTTTTGTTAGATTTGATTTCAACAATCCCTTCCAAGTGTGTGGTCTTCTATTTCTGTTTCGTAGTCTACTTTATAAATGGACTCCTGAAAAAAAAGAAACCATTTCCAACAAATGGATCGACTTTTGGCTTTGTTTGTTTAAGTAAAGTCAAGAGAAGCACAGAGACACAATATAGATGTACAAATGTACCGGTAATGGCTTTTTTAAATGCTGGGAATGAGTAACACAGACAGACAGAAACAACTTAGGAAAAGAAAAGAAGTAGGCCCTATCAGTGGCGCCCTCAAACCACCTGCTTTTTCGGCTTTTGACATACATAGCTGCCTTTAGCATAGGTGAAATAATGGTCACGAATCAGAGATGTTCCACTTACTCAGGCATAGGCTGCACATCTTTTTAACCGGATTGTATGCTTATGACAATAATAAATGCCCGGTGCCAGTCCATTAGACAGTCTACTGACTGCAATGCTTCTGTTTTACTGGGCTGTCTATCGCCAGACCAGTTTGACAATTGTTCCGCTTGATGGTCCATTTGTCAACTGCTATCAATAACCTGGATTCAGACCTTAACCCTAACACAAACCTTAGCTCTAGCCCTAACCAATTGACACAGTCCGCAAATACAGACCGATACATGCAGTTAAATGGACTGGCACTGTCACCAGTTGTCCCTCATTGTTATGTCGTAGATCTATCAGTACTTCTCTGTTGTTCTGAGCCCAGCCTCTTCTACCCACAGGATACACAGGGTCACGGTGTGAGCGGCTTGACGGGCCGTGCACGAGAGACATGTGTGAGAATAACGGTTCCTGCGTGTCTTCTGAGCTCATGTCCGGCGTCGTCTGTGAGTGTGTGCCAGGGTTTTCGGGCTCACACTGTGAACTTGAAGGTGAGCCGTATCAAAGATCCTGTATCTTTGTTTGAACTTTCTTTGAAATTTGTTCGTTTGTGAATTTGTTTGGTTTTTCACGAGTCCTACACGACACAGAATACATATCGAGTACATGTATCTCCGTCTTTCTGATGGGATGTCATCCCTTTCACCCTCCAAAATGATCTAAAACTTAGTGCCGATATGGGTGTAAAGCTGCTACAATTTCAATAACATAATACGTCATTACGACGAAGGTCCATCGGTAAGTCAAATCATTGGGAAATCACGACAAACGGTATGAATCAAAACGGAAGTAAGTAAACATTGAATCTTGGAACAACGACAGCCAATCAGAATCCACTATTGCCAGAATGGGAAACAGTAACTCGCAACGATTACACTAATCTTGGAGAAGGCCCAAGTATCCAGCCATTTTTATTAATTTTTTTGAGGGGGGGGGG